GATGCCGCCGAGATGGGCAAGGTGCTGTCCAAGATCTTCGGCAACAAGGAGATGCGGATCCTGATGCTGGGTCTGGACGCGGCTGGTAAAACCACCATCCTGTACAAACTGAAGCTGGGCCAGTCCGTCACCACCATCCCCACCGTGGGCTTCAACGTGGAGACGGTTACTTACAAAAACGTCAAGTTCAACGTGTGGGATGTCGGGGGCCAGGACAAGATCCGTCCCCTCTGGAGGCACTACTACACGGGCACGCAAGGGTTGATCTTTGTGGTGGACTGCGCCGATCGCGACCGCATCGACGAGGCCCGCCAGGAGCTCCACCGCATTATCAACGACAGGGAGATGCGGGACGCCATCATCCTCATCTTCGCCAACAAGCAGGACCTGCCTGATGCCATGAAACCCCACGAAATCCAGGAGAAACTGGGCCTGACCCGAATCAGGGATAGGAATTGGTACGTGCAGCCCTCCTGTGCTACTACAGGGGATGGACTCTATGAAGGGCTGACATGGTTAACATCCAATTATAAATCCTAATGAGAGAATAACTATTTAGTCTACAAAGAATTAAAGAAAAAAAAAAAAATAACCCACATGGCTTTCCGGAAGAATGATTCTCTACTGAAAAGTAAAACAAAAGCATCCATAGGATTATGATCACCTTTCTCCAGTTACCACCCTTTCCTTCTGCACACTTGACTGGATTCCTGTTTTAACTCTTCTTGCTTGGCGTTAGGATGCTCTAATCTCCGAATGTGACATGAACACAAGCACTAGATGCTATGGCAGACTTCCAGCAAACAGGGGAAAGACACATTGTAGACTTGCTAAGTAACTTTTTTTTTTTTTTTTTTTTTTTCTCCCTCTTGATAGCCCTTAAGATGGTTTGATTATTTTGGGGGATGGTTGGGGGAGGGGTACCGTTTTCAGTGTATGCTTTCTGGTTCTACTTTTTTGATTATATATATATTTTTTTTTTTTCTTCTATCACTTGCTGTAGATTGCTACTTTTTTGCGTTCATGCAGAATATGTTGATAGATCTACTTCATCTAGTAAACTGAAAATTATTGCTTAAAATCAAACTGCAGTCTGTCTTTTTATATTAAGGACTTTTTTTTAAAGTTCTGTTAATCTGTAACTAAGTAGTGACTCTCAGTCTGTCTTCATATCTCAGACTAATAATGAAACGAATTCTTGCCTACAGTGGCAGATAGCGAGAATACCATTGTAACATGTTCAAAGTGCATATCGGGCGTAATGTTCACCGGGTAATGTAAGACCTGCTTTGAAATGTCAGCTGTGAAGTTCTGAACCATACATCATGCATGAGAAGGGATGCAAATAAGTTCCCCATACTACATAGCAACCATATAGCAAATAAGACATGAATGATGTAATAGTTCCAGGGTAGATACTGTTCGGTTTTTGTCTTGCATTGCGAACTTAAATGATGTTTAGCTGCAGTTTTTACTACTCGTGTCAGTCTCTGATTCAATGCAAGATAGGTTCCTTCCAGAAAATGCAGCAATAACGTGTAGGCATCGCAACAAGTTTTAGTTTCAATCACAGATGGTTAGGCGAAAATCTAGCACCGATTTGCCTGTCTTGCGATCGAGACCAATTGTTTTCATCTCAAGGCAGTTGAAGACATTTAAAAATCTTGAAAGGACTTCAGATTCTTTCTGAGTGCATGTAGTGGCAAAAGAAAAAACTTTTTTTTTTTTTTTTTTTTTTCCCCCCCATTTTGTAGACTTCCGAAGGGGCAAGTTCCGTGCTAAGCTTTAATTGAGCGGGGTAATTTTGACACCTGAATAATAGCCATTTTGAGGAAATCGCTCATTGGTTTAGTTTTCCAAGACTCGACTGAACTCTCGCAGGTAGTTGCAGTCTTCGCCATCGGTCTCGGTAGCCGGTTGTTGCTGTAGTCCCGTAGGAAGGGAACGATGTTGGATGTCTGAAGCCCATTGAGTAACTACTAATGAGAGCAGGGAGGAGAGAAAGAGAGAGAGAGAGTATACGACTATGAATGTAAACTTCCATAATTAGTTCTTAAAGGGCAAGCAGCTCATTTGCCATATCGCAGTTTGCAGATGTGACTGGCAAAAAAAAAAAAGAAAAGCCAAACCAACCCACCCAGAGCAAGTATTAGTGTAAAACCACAACTGAGTATTGATGCTGGGTGCAAAAAAAACGTTAAAGCAGCTGGTTCTTATTCAGCCTTAAGGATTAACTTCAGATTTCCTCAAGGAGTTAAACTCGATTGGGGAATTCTAGGAATGTATGCTACAAAACCAGAAGAAAATGGCTTTTTTTTTTGTTCTTTTTTCTTTTTTTTTTTTTTTTTTTTTCCCAAGGGTATGAGTTTTACGTGAAATTGGGGGCATTACACTACACTTCTGCAGCGCTGACTGCATGCTGAGTACGTTGTATACGGAGCTCTTACCAAAGATGTATGGGAAGATAAAAAATATGGAATTCGCTTCTGAAATGGAACGCTTTGGACCACTTAAAAGTTCCTTCACAATATGGTTCCAAAAGTCTTATCTTGATGCGGGTTGCAGATGGGACTGAATGGGTTCTTGACGCTAGAAGATAGAGCACTGGTTGACGATAAGCTTTCCTAAATTACAGAGAGCCTGCAAAAGCTTAATGGAGAATAACTCTTAAACCGCTGCTCTGAAGAAGAGGAGGTGAGATTATTTTTTCCCCACACGAGGCTTTTTGCCATTGGAATATCGTTGCTCTATTTTCTAGCTTTTTTTTTTTTTTTTTTTTTTGTTAGTTTGTTTTTGTTTCTGTTGATGTAACTTAACAAACAGCGTGGCGGCACAAAGACTAAAAATACAAGCATATGGTTACTGGTTTCTTCTGGAGCATAAATAAAATAGCCAAGCACAAAGTAAATGCCTAAACTGGAAAACTTGAAGCTCTATTAATGGTTCTTGAACTTTCTTAAACCTATTCTCAGTCAACATGGAAACTTCAATAGCTTCATTTTTCGTCTAAGTTGATTGACTATGTTTTCGAGTGCTGGGGCAGACTTCTTTGCTAGACTTTGCATTAAGTTGAATCCACAGTTTTGTATTTCCTTAGTAACTTTGTTATTCTGTTTTTGTAGGTGAAAGGAAACTGATTATGCTTCTGAATTTTTTTTTTTTTTAATGTCTTTTGGAGGGGGGCGGGGGGGAGGGGGAGGGAGAAAAAGTTACTGAAACATGTGGCAGAGACGTCGAAAAATAAATGGCCATTGCTGCAGAACAAAATACAAAGGTTTCACTTTCAACGTGTCCTTTATAGGTTGTAGCTGAACCTCGCCACGCACCAGTGGCTGTCGGGCAGCGAACGCAGCCTGCAGGATAAAGTGGCAATCTGTAAGAAATCCTATGATTTAAAAACTAATCTGGAGTTTAAGTGCATCGATTTGTGTTCATGTGAATTTATGGAGTAAGTTTTGAATGGCGTTAATCGTGTCTGATAAGTGAATGAGTTTGTAGACTGTGATCTCCCTGACTAAAGTAAACAGGAATTTTGTGTTCTCAATATGGCTGTAGTGTTGGTAAAGAACTAATAAGCAGAAAATAAAGCAATTATACAGCGGAGCTCTCCTGGTATGTTACTTATATTTAATTATGAGAGAAACAGAAAGGGGCAATATGGTGCTGGAGTAGAGCATCCTGCCGACATAAAGAGGTCTCTGTTCTGTATCTCACGCTTTTGAAAGCCTGTCTGTAATTCCTTTGAGACTTAGATTAGCGACAGTTTTTACAAGTGGAAGGGACGATACTTCTTTAACACTCCCCCTTGCAGTTAACGATCTTTAGCGAACTTGAGCGTCAAATTTACACCGCCTCGGTGCCAGGGGACCAGCCCCGTGAGAGGGCACGGAGGGACTTGTCGCTGAGCAGGAGGGTGCTGCGTTTCACGGACGAAATGACTTGGTCGGAAAGGGGAGATATTAGGCCAGCGTAGAAAAGGCAGCGATGAAATGGGTCCATGAGAGGACAGGGGTGCTCGTGGAGCGAGAGGTGCGAGGTTGGGAGGTCTCTGGTGCCCGATAGCGGATGGCCGATGAAAGGGCCGGGGCACGCACAGCGCGCTACGCTGACCGCGACAGCCGCCCTCCCGCCGGCCTGGGGAGAGGCAGCCGTGTTACGGGAACAGCCCCGGGATCCCAGCCCCACGGGGGCTGTCGGGCTGTTCCCCCTTGGGCTGGGGATTTGCTGACCCGGAGGTGTTGAGGTAGCTCCCAGCACCCACAACTGCGGGTGTGAGGCCAGGCATCGGCCGCTCGGAACTGTCTCCTGGTTGCAAAGCTTTCAGGAATTGCCGGGAGACGTTCTCCAGCCGGGTGGGGGTACGCGGGTGCAGGGGCGGTGGGCCCACCGCAGGGGCAATCCTCCGCAAAGCCTTTTTATTCCGGGGTATTTAGGCCAGGCTCTGTCTACCTGCCTGTCAGTTAAGGGTGTGGCTCTGTAAATGAACTTACTCTGCCTTAATTAAGCTACTCGGGAGTGTGGAGACAAGGCTCCAGGAGAGCAAACTCATGTCTCTCTCATTGTAGTAGTTAGTCATTTTTCAAAATGTCAGCACTTATCGTTTTAAATCGGACCTTTGTTACGGCAGCAGTTAGCGTGACTCCCCGGAGCACCCTTCCCGAATCGTGCCGTGACTCACGCCTCAGCAGGGCCTTTTTTTTTTTCCCCAGTCACAGGGCTGCAATCCTCATGGACAGGGTTCGGCAAAAACGTGTCTGCCACCCCTAACTGGGAATAAACCCTGCTAATACGACAGTTCTCCCAAAGGAGTGGCGCTCGGTTTAAAAAAAATTAGTTTCATCCTCAAAAGAGCCGGCTGCAAGGTCTGTGATAGCCGGTGGCTTCATGGATGGACCTGAGCGTTATTTCCCTGGGAGCCAGGGACGGGAGCAGCGGCCACCGGGAGCGGGGAGCTTGCTCTGGAGCATGGAAGCAGCCTTGGTGTGGGCACCGTGACTCAGACTTCCCGCTAACGCACGGGTGTGCTTTTTATCTTGGATTTGTTTCTAGTATCTGTCCAGCCTGAAGGGCTCAGTGTGTGGAATCCGAAATCGCCTCAGCTTTGGTGCTTTCTGGAAAAAAAAAAAAAAAAAAAACAACCCAAAAAACCCCCACACCAAACCCAAAACGCTTTCCCCTCGCCTCGGGGAGGGGGAAGCGTCAGCTTTCAAGGGCTGTCGGTGAGCTAGTGGCATCTCCACGTACGAACTGTTCCTCTTCCGACACCCTAAGCACGACTCCGGCACCGGCGCTGCTCCAGCCTGGAAGTTTCAGAATTATGTCTAAGGAGATGCTTTCGGGTCGTCGGGCCGAGGTGGATGGCTTGAGCACCGCAATCCATCTCGCTTTCAAAATGGGGAGCGCCGCGAGGAGCAGTGTAATTTTAGCCCCGCCGCCAGTTCTGGAGGGGTGAAGCGGGTGAGTCAGAGCCCCGTGGTGCTCAGCGGCGAGGGGCGCGTCCCCGCCAAGCGCCGGCTGCTCGTGCGAAAGGCGGCTTTTTATAGGCGGTAAAGTGGGTATGCGGCGTATTGTCCAGGAAGTTGCTCTCTTCTCTTGCTTAAGAACAGGTATCTCCGGCCTCCTTAAAAAAATCGAAAGGAAGGGGGGAAGAAAAAAAAAAAGAAGTAAAGATGTGAGTCATCTGCTGAGCTCTCCAGCCCCAGAGTCTCACAGCGACTTAACAGGCTCAGGCCCTTGCTTCGCCACGAGAGAAGTGTTTTGCCTTCTTCCCGAGGATGCACTTCGCTCCTCTGTTACTGGTTTCTTTTGTTGCGTCTTCTAGGACAGCGTTAGAAAAAAATAGTGAAGCGGGATTTAACGGGTGTCTGTTTTGTGAGAGGTGGAAATGGAGAACGCTTGAAAAGTGGTAACGCTTTTGGTTAATGCAAACGCTAATGGTTTGAAGCTGCGCCAGGGCAGGTTTAGGTTAGATATTAGGAAAAACTTCTTCACAGAAAGGGCTGTCAGGCTCTGGAATGGGCTGCCCAGGGAGGTGGTCGAGTCCCCATCCTTGGAGGGATTTAAAAGAAGGATAGATGAGGTGCTTAGGGACAGGGTTTAGTGGTGGGATGGCAGGGTTAGGTTAAAGGTTGGACTCGATGATCTTAAAGGGCTTTTCCAACCAAAGCGATTCTATGATTCTATGATTCTATGAACGCTTGAAACGCTTTTTTTTCCCCCATAGGAGTATTCAGAAGAGCGCAACCTCGAGGGGGAACCACCAGCGACTCCTGGCTCAGTGTAGGTACCCTTGTGCCCCAGCTGCCCTTCAGACTCGGTGAAAACTCGCTCAGTGGTTAAAAAGAGAAGAGAAGGAAGCCGAGGTGTAGATAACGAGCCGAACTCGTGTCTGTGTCTTGTGCCTAGAATGGATTCCTTGTCCGAAATAGGATGGGGGTAACGCTGCCAGGGCCAGGCGCCGGCTTCATCCCAAAGTTTCCTTCTGATGGAGCGGGAGGGGAGGTATTCTCTCTCTCATCGTCACAGGAGATGAAAACTTCTGGAAAGCTGCATCAAAACGCGGCGTTGCCTGCCGGCCGTTGTTTGATGCTGTTATGGGGGTGCGCTCTGAATTCATGTTTTGGGGGGGGGGGTGGGGAGGGA